AGTAATATGAAGAATCCTTGATGGCAGATTGTTTGATTAGGGCATTTTTGGACAATGGCGGACCCTGTTTTAAAAACAGTATTCATTGGAGGTTCTAGATCTAAAGATAGGGAAACAGAGATGGATTTACAGTATAAGAGATTGATGTCTTGTTGCTTGGATAATGAAATAAAAAATTTATAAAAATGAAAATGTTAGAGAAGGGGATCAAATCAACATCAATAGTAATTGGGCAAGATACTCAATAGGCGCCACTCATTATTCGAAAATACGGATTACCAAAACAGGGGAACAGAAAAGATTTTAAAAGTTTTTCGATTTGATATTTTTTGGAACAATAAGTTTTATCTTAATTGTATAATTAGTGTTTAAAAGGTAGGGTTTATAAAAAAATTCAAAATGTATATTCAAGCAAAGTTGATAATATACAAATGGAATAAGTTCCCAAAGAAGTACCCATTTGTGATTGGAGTTGGAGATACTATGGAAGTCCTTCGCTTTCTTAACGATGGTCTGGATTTTCTTCATAATGTCTTAATTACATAAATCCTTATTAGATAATCTTGAATCAACTGTAATGAAAAGGAAAAGCCAAAAATTTAAATAATGAATTAAGACTGGAGTTAGTATGTAAGTAGTGCCAAAGATGTCAACAATATACAGGAAAAAGGAGGAAGCATTTATCCTAGATCAGTACACCATTATACAGAATATTTGTTGAGGTACACTCTCCTTTGGTTGCACATAATATAGAGGCAGTAGATTTTCCAATAAACTTCTTCCTTAATTATCACGGTTGCATTAGGTATCATAAATCTACTGAACTTTAAGTCAGCATTTTGGGTTTGAAACAAATTTAGAGATCATAATTTGATCTTAAATATAGTGCATGATGTGGTCATCTAAATATATTAATTAACGTCTGTCTGAACAATACACCTTATATGCTTAATAATGTCTTAAAGACTATGCATATTTCAAGGATGCACTAAAAGAGTAATCACATTTGCACCTGTCACTTAAATAACTAATGCATATATGTATTAGAACCGCCAAGAATTCACATACACAAGATTAATAAGGTTAGTTTAGTATATGAGGAAGATAATAAATAAGACATCGTGAGTGAATTATATAGTCCTTAATTTAGATATTAATTTGGCTATGTATGTTTAAATTCACTAGGAGAGTGGACATCCCTAAATGACACCAAGTCTTTTAATATAAGGCCATAATAATAGCGCTGATGAACAAAAATGATAACCAGGTTATAAACTAGAGTAGAAAATGCTAAGGTTGTAGGATTACAGTAATAACCAAAAAGGTATTAAGTATATTGGTCATTTGCATAAAAGAGATAGTTGCTGGTAAAAAAGCTCCGACAGTGATGAACATTGAATGCGATAAAGAGCATTATATTATAAGTTTTTCAATACCAATTATATGATAAAAAGACCTAATACTTGTGCTTTATTTAAAGAAATATAAAACAAATCAAATGGAAGATGTGCAGTTTAAGGCACAGACCGAATATTTATTATCAGAGATTTAAACAGAAGTGGTATCATAATTACTACGCTTAGTGAATTTTTGAGAATGAACATTGCTACTTTAATTAACAGTAACTGTAATGCTTATAAATAATGTAATGCCAGCTAAAAAGGGAGATGCAAATCACATATCGAAATAAGACTCATGAAATAAAAAAAGGATAAGATAGACTAGTAAATTCACAAATTATTGGCTTTAATAATAATAGTTCTATCAGCAGAAGCAGCAAGATAGGAAATACCTACAAGTATAACTTAAGCTCTAGACTTCCTTAATTATATATTTTATGCAAATGATAAGAAAAAATCACAAAACATAATGGATATTAAGTATGCTCATACGTAACAAATTTAGAGGATCGGCATTAAAAAGCGTGAAAGGAGTAGTTATGATAAGGAAACTGAATATTTGCGTGATATACCTCCTTTTAGGGAATTTTCCACTCGATCCACTTGAAACACAAACAACAAGAATTTGTAAGGATGAGTAAAAATATCCACAAAACAAGATTTAGCAACTAATACAGCTTGTAAAATAAAAAATAACAACCATCATTGCTTCAAAGGATTAATGTGCACTATGCCTCCTAGATATCACATTTATGTCACAACTATTTTGTGATGATTTTATATCAGGGTTTAGGCTATTTTGTTATAGGTAGCATCAAGTTGATCCAATTCAGGTTACACAGATTACCTAAGTGTGTTCCTAATTGAACTGCTTGTTAGACATCAGATAGACCTATATACGTAGTATTACCATAAAGTAATAATCCTTGTAAGCAATTACAACCACACCATATAGTGATCTAAGTGATTCCTAAATTGTAAACTAAATGCAAAGAATCACTATATGCTTGCACTATTTGTACTAGGTATTAAACTATTCTGCATATGAATCAACCCTAAAATCAACAGCCTTTCATGAACAAAGTTAATTTCGAATTATTTAAAAACAAGTTGAAATTAACTGTTAAACTTGTAATACTGGTTTGATACTTTAGAGTCACTATATATCAATTAACTTTGTCACAAATCCTATTCAACATTGTGGATATTATTATTTAATTGAAAAGTATGTCTCTCATGTTCAACTTTTGATGAATACTCTTACAACAGGCAAGAATTATTTTAGTACTTTGATCTATTGTAAATATCAAGACAATTGGTAATAATGGTGACTTCCTCAGTTTGTACATTTCAAATATGATCCATAATATAATGCTGCGCTTATATGTAATGTAACACTAATTGCATTCTTGCTAAAATTAAAATCCTGGTCAGTTTGTCTTGGGCCATTTATTAAGCAATCATAAGCACAATCAATGAAAATGATAAAGTAAACTTTATGCTTAATCTTGTAAATGAGTGTTATGCTGAATCGTCAAAACAAAAATCAATTAAATACAGAACATTTCATTCATATTCCAGTTCATTTAAACTTGAGTATTGGCTCAAAAATTGAAATATGTTGTCAATATACATCAATTCTCCAATATCCTTCTAATTAGTAATTGGATGTAAAAATAATGCCTTGGTATGAGATGAATTTGTATTTTTAAGTGATTCTAAAGAAAGAGTGTGATTCTTATAAGAGTAACTCATGAGTAAGACCAGAAGCTCCTCCAAGAAAGTGTAAATTATCAAAGATATTCAGCAATACTGTTTGAATACCAAAGTAAGTGTCCATAATCTTTCAACTGCGATTGATAATTTCGCTGCGTTTTGGATTTGAAAATTAAGATTTTCTCACATACTTTCTGAAACCAGCGTCATTCCGAGCGAAGGAGAAAAGAAACGAGAGTCAGATGATGCAATCTTTTTGTTGACAAAGAAAATTTCTACTCCATTAGTTCCATTAGTGAAATTGATTTCTCTTTGGAGATGAACAGTTTAAAAAAAGCGAGAATGGAAAACTTCTGTATCAAGCAATGATAATTTTCTCAATACTTGAGCACAACAGCAAGTAAGTTATCACTAATCGATTGCTTCTTTTCATCAATAGACAAAGAATTATTAGTAAAATTACTAAACCTAGTTATTTATTGAGTCTGATTTGGGTAAAATGTTATCAAAAGAGTACAAATCCAGTAGGAATATGAAATTTATCTTTAGCAGTAATTAAACTATAGCTTTTGGGAGTGCTCTATCTTCTTCAGATATTTGGCTTAAATGTTTCCATATTTGTAGGTTAACAATTTCTCCTTCTTCATCTGGAGTCAGATCAAATATCAAATTCAAGGAAAATCGACCTTTTTTCATGCTTCTATATCTTCAATTAGAAGTCTTATTGTCTCAATTGTTATAGCACAGATCATTCATTTTACAAACTTTGATTATTTTTTCTTGAGTGAACGTTTAGATGTATCCTTAAACAGTATTGCATCATTTTGACAATCAAATCGCATGTCTGACGTAAAATATTAATTTTTTCACAATGATCATTGAATAATTTCATAATTAGAATTGGAATTCCCTTGGATTAGAGCTGAAGTTTTGTTTTCTCCTCTTAATTGTGATTCTTCTTTAAGAAATGATCTTTCATTTAATTCAAATTATTGCTAGTATCTAAATAGTAAAATCATTGAACATCAGATTGTTTCATTAATTGAAGTCTTATAAGTTTCTTTATTCTTAATCTCAATTGATCGAAACTTTTTCTTTAATATTTCTTTTTACTATCACAGCTAGCACAATATTAATAAGCAAAATATTCTTTATTAGATAGAATTTAAGTTAGTGGAATAAACTTAGGACTTTTAGTGTTTTTAAGAAAATAGTTGTAACTGATTGATTTATTCAAATTTAAATTAAAACTTTTTTATACAATAAGCAAGATAACATCTTCACACGCTTCATCAGATCTGAAACGAATTTTTCCAAATAAAGTATATTTTGAAATTTGGATCATAGATTTCATTAAAAATTTTCTCCAAATAATGTTTTCACACAAAATCATTCTCAATATTTGAATCTAAAACCTATCATTTTGCTGATTGCTTTTTGCATATAATATTGTATGCTATTTGTATTTATATTTTGCGATTTGAACAAAATTCCGTATAGCTATAAATAAATTATATATTAACAGAATTCAATTTTTCATCAAAAGAAGACTAGTTAGTATTCATTTTATAATCAGAAATTAAAAAAATGAATATTATTATATCATAAACACAACCATAAAAGCCTGAGGTGGAAGAGTTGATTTGTCAAAATCATAAAAGAGAGATAGTAGCCGTAGATTTATCAGAAAAAGGTAATTTTTAATATTTGTGTTGCATTTGCTTAGTTGAAAAAATGAATAATAGCAAGGTATCAACAATTGAATAGACAAAAGAGAGAATTTAATCCTTAAAAACTTAAAGATAAGAAAATAAGACTAAATAGATCCAACTAAGGTTGGATCACTTCAAGATCATACTAGATTAAATAATGGAGTTTAAATGTAGTGTTGAGAATACATTAGAAAAAATATACAGTCAAATAAAAGCACAGATATTTACAATTTAAAAAGAAAAATAATCTTAATTAGATAATTTTTAAACATAATACAATTTTTAAGAGGAAGTTAGATCGCTGTTTGAATTTCTTTCAATCGAGAGTTAAGAAGACTAATTAGAATTTTAGTAGGATAGTTAGTTTATTGACGAAATAGCTAAGCAATTTGACCTCTTATTTAATGGCTCAGCATATTTCTAAACAATTGACACTTTTAAGGATGCTAAATATAAAATTAATGAAATTTATTAAAATATATAGATCGAATAAATGTCACTTCAAAATTAAAATAATTATGTAAAAATTTATAACATTAAAGAAAACACCTAGTTTAAATAAACTTTGCCCTACACATAACAAGGAAATCATTATGATTGACATCGATAGTGAAAATAAAAAAATAGAGGATAGATTCGTCTGTGTTGATTGCATTAGTGATCATCCGAATTGCTAATATAGAACTATTGAAAAAATTAATTAATAATGGAATCACACAAAGAAACAGCAAGACAGGATATTTTCTGAGATACAGGTTAAGAGGTAAGAGAAATAGAAAAATCTGAATTAATAGATTGCTATAGTGAGAAAAAATTTTAATCAATAACTTAATGAAATTAGCGAAAAATTAATCACAGAATTTTCTCTACCAATAAGAAAAGCGTGTGAGATGAATAAATTTAAATAAATCTCTCTACAACAAGTATGTAATGATGAATTGCTTTCAAATATTAATTAAATGATTCTAAATGACAAAAAAAATTTGATTTAGGATTCTTAAATTGAGTATTTGAAATCAAAAGATGCTTTGTTTTAAAAAGAGATTGAAAGCAGATTAGAGCACTTAAAATAACATGATTAATTAGATATTTAAGTGACTATAAATATTATGCAGGATATATAAAGTATTCAAAAAAAGATTTATTTTTAGATGACAACTAAATCCAAGGAATTGTTTAATTATAATAAGAACTTTAGGAGAGTACAAAAGCAAATTAAGGGTTATTAATTTTCAAGCAAGATTTAGATGAGCTCGTAAATTCTTCAAAATATATTTATTCTTAAAAAAGTGTACTGAATGAGTCTGTTAAGAAATTTTAAGATCACCTTACTAAAATAAAAATATTTGTTTCTAAAATATAATAAACCTAAGATAATTTGCCTCTCACTAAATTATAAAAGTAAACTAACGATTATAAGAATAAGTTTGAAAATGATTTTATATAGTTTATAAAATTTTGTGAAATAGAGAAAATCGAGAATAATTTCTAAACTCTACAAAAAGAGTATGAAAAATTATAACTAGAGAGTATTAATGGTTTTCAATTTATTAGGAAACCAATATTTGGAATCCATCGAGAACGACTATAAATTGAAGATAATAACTTAAAATAGGATTATTGAGGAACTTGAAGCACTTATAAAAAATACTGAATCTAAACTTAAAATGAAAGTAGAAGAAGAGTAATTGTTAAACGAAAAGCTGAAATTGGAAATAACTAATAATACTAATTTGCAATTATAGTTAAATAATTTATAAGCCATTCATGAGAATGAAATTAAATCACTAAATGACAAAATAACTTAATCAGATATAAATATAAATAAAATTCAAAATAAATTAGATTCAAGAATTAAAACATCCATTTTTTTAGATATAAAACCAATATTGCTTAGAGATGATTTTTGGATTAAAATTTTTTATTTTTTATAAGAGAAATCAAAGAAATCGATAAAAAGTTCAACTCTAATATTTCAAGGTACAAAAAATGGATTAAATGGAGAATCTTTTTGGAAAGAAGTCAATAATAAAGACAATCTACTCATGATTCTTCAATCAAAACGTGATTATATTTTTGGAGCTTATACTCCTTGTAAGTGGGTATCTAATTTATATTATGTGCAAGATGATACACTATCATCCTTTATATTTTCATAAACACATAGTTAAATTTATCCTTTGGCGTATACGAAAAATGCAATTTATTGTAATTCTAATTATGGACCTACATTTGGAGAAGGATTTGATTTTTACATAAATGGTAATTTTAGTGATGGTTATTGTAAGTTAGGTCATTCATATCAATTTGATTAATATAAAAATGGAACTGAAGATCCTCATTTATTTGGATAAAATAAACCAGAAATTAAGGAATGTGAAATTTATTAAATATAATTTAATTGATAGAGATTGTTTATTTATTATTAAAAGTAATAATCATATAGAATTGCAATTAATCAATTCAAACTTAAATTCTGTCATAATTAGCGATTAAAATAATCTAACAACCAACTAAATATCAGAAAATTAGATTTATAATTTCACCATAACATTCAATCTAATGATCGTAAATCATAATATTTTCTCGTCACTAAATTTACTCAATTATTAATATTAAAATTTTTATTCACTCAAAATCTATAAAATCTTAATAATTTCTTTTAATTAATTTAAATTGGAAAAATTAAATTTATTTTATTATAATATCTTGATGGTTGATGATCATAAAGGTAAAAATCAAAATGGTAAATAATTGAAACAATCATTAAATTGAACTTGATGGCTTTTTATTGTAAATAACATTAATTCTTGCAGGAATTTATTTTTGATGACCTAAAACTGTAATAATTAAGAGAAATGTAATGCATATAAAAATGAAACAAAAAGAACTTTTCATAAAAATACTAAACTTTTAAAAGATACTTTTTGATATTCTTGAAGTCTTTCAATAGAAGAATGAGTGAACAATAATGGAATCTTATTGAGATTTAATTTGATAATAGTTTGTATAACTTATAGATTTAAAATTCATTTATTATATAATTATGTTAGTATTTACAAAATTTCTTTGTAATAATACCTTCTATTCTGTATAATTAATTTTGCTTTAATAAATACTTGTGTTTTGTTGAATCCAAATATTTATAGATTTTTGTTTATTGTAATAATTAAAAAACAGCAATAATTATGTCTATGAAACTTGAATTAACAAAAAAGTATCATTATTAAATTAAATAATATTTTGATATATGTTCAATTTACTAGTTTACTTAATTATGAATTGCTAATAAAAAGAGCTAGTTGTAGATTTGATCGAAAATAGCAATTAAAATATAAAAAATTACAAATTTGTCAAATAATAAGGTACTGAAAGAAAAACAATCAAGAACTTCAAAAATTATTAAAAATAGGCTAAATTTGAGAGTTGGTATAATGAGTTAAATTCAAAATGCTTAACGTTTATAGAATCTATTATAGATATGACCTAAAATTTGAAACATTTCTTTAAGATATAATCAGCTCTGAAAAACTCAATAAATTATTTACCAATTATAAGTCAAGAAGAATAACTATACGATGGCTTAAATGGTTTTGGAGTTATTTTAAACTCATAATGTAAGAAAGAGAATGATTTTAATATAATGCAATTCACTAATATAGTAGTGCATCAATTTTAACACTAATCCATAAAAAACTACTATTCGAATTGGAAATTATGGTTCAAAAATATAAAAACTAATAAACATATTTTTAAATTAATATTTAGGTGTTGAGTTTTTAGAACCTAATAGATTTTGAATAATTGGTGATGTGTAAAAGGTACAAAGATCAATCGAACTTTGCCAAAAGTTAAATGTGGAATACCAACTCTTATTAATTCTGGTTATCTCAAATTTAATATCATTAATTATTTAAAGAAAATGAACTAAAAGGAATTAATACCTCCTAAGAAATGGGTTAGAATAGATTTATTTTCTTATTTG